AAAAAAAAAAAAAAAAAAAAAGCCTATACACTCGTCCAGAGAACAAAGGAACTGAAAGATGTGTTGCCTGATGTGCGTAATATTGCCCTGCAATTATGATGAAAGGGTTCTTTTTTTCTAGAAAACCATATCGAAGCCTGTCAAGGAAAATTTTTCGCACTAGTTTCTTTGTCCCTCTAAATTGGTTGTTAGATTCATAATCCATCGCATGTCCAGTTTCCTCATTTCATTCGGGCGCTCTTTTCTACCCTTAAATCATAAACCGTTCGGATAGTGGGGATTTTCACTAGTCAAGGTACTAAGTAATGTCTCAGACAGTCAAAACAGACACCGCATGGATAATCCTGATAATAATCTTTACTATGTAATTATACCGTAAGCCAACAAATAAAGCTCCAAGGATCATAAAGACCGAGGATCGTCATTGCCACGAAGCGGTGATACGTTACCACCATAGTAGACAAGTTACGGCTGGCGGCATCAACCGCCACATACGTCGGTGCAGTGAATAGACACATAGCAGTCTCTTGAGCTACACTCATTTCAATGACATTCCTCATTGTCCCAATCACTATATTGTAGCTTACAAGTCGTGTAACATACATTCAACATCACGTATCACCAAAACACCCAATGTGTATACATATTGGTACATTGGTTTACCATTCACATTAGTCATGGGTACGATTTCGGTGAGAACAAGCATATCCAGCCAAGGATTCCGGGTAACCTGGGCGCCTGGACTCGAGCTAAGGCAATTAGGGGCCTCTATCCGGCCAGCCAAGGCCGGATGCCAAGTGATCCCATGGAAGAGCTATTCCTCCCCTGTCTGGGCAGGGCCGAAGCAAAGTTTGCGGCTTTAATTAGTGAAAACAGAGCTGCGTAGCGACTTGAACCTCCTATGAATGCCCTCTTCGACATGTTCATATAATCTTCGATTGTATTGTTCCCTCAGCTTCTAGAATCCTCATGGAAAAGTGCCCGACACGGCACGGGCGACGCTGATCAGACTCGTGTGGGTTGCTTCTGCATAAAAGGGCAACTCTAGTATCCATCATGGATACCTGATTCTGTATCCTTATTTGTAGAAGGTTTATGTACACATTCCAGTGCATCACGTGGGATGCCTTCAGGCATGACCGTCTGGTTATTCAGGCGCTCAATGATCGACGCTTTCATTCGGCTGTTTTCGGGATTTAATTGGCAGGCAACCTATTCCAGTCTCGGGCTAGACTCAAGCCCGTGACCCGCTACCGCTCGAAACTGGCTTGACCGCCTGCCGCATCGGAGCACTCCGCCTTTCCAACTGCATCCACTTGGCACTAACTCCAGTCATTGCATCAAGTGTTGTTTCTGTTACTTTGAATATTGACATTATCTTGGTTCCTGACAACTCCATCTATCCTCTATATTCAGGCAAAAGCCCACAGTTAAACCCTTTGTTCCTTTTATCACCTTCTTCTATCGCCCAGTTGGAGGAGGATGTGCCCCGATATCAACTCACTTCCCCCGTCGCGTTCCTCTTCTGCCTCCCCGCGTCAAGCACGGAATCTCCACACTTCTTCTGACAGCCAGCAGCATTCTTCATCCGGGTTCTCCCCTGCATCGGCCACCGTGAGTAATAATAACAACAATAATCAGAACAACCATCATCATACCTCGGAGGTCCCTCGTCGGCCTTCCCGCAGCTCTCGTGCGGGCATGCCGGGGCCAGAGCGACGCCGGTCCGCTGCCGGTGCCAACTTTAACCTGAATAATAATGAGCCGACTGGGGACTCCATGGCCCCGTCCGACCACCGCTCCTCACTAGGTCCCCATGGACTTCGGACGTCTAGCCCATCGAGCCTCGGAGGCAGCCCGATTATTGCGACCGGGGACCCGCATCATCAACGTGCCCCTTCGTTGGGGGAGCTGCATCAAGAATTGGAGCAGGAGCAAGAAGCCCAAGTGGTATGAACCCGACCGTCACCGTATCATTGCCGTGGCGGTTAAATTGCCACCCCCTTGTCGATACATGTCAACTAATCTGGATTTCGGTTAGAACCGACTCTTGCATATGATCCGAACCCAGCAAACTCAACTGCAGCAATTACAGCAGCAGCAACAGCAACAGGGTACCCAGGGCACGGCTATCGACGATTCGGACCGCTCTGCGTTTCCTATCATTCCACCCGTCTCGGCTGGTGGCAGTCGAACATCAACTCAATTTCCCTCGTCGCTGTCCAGCCGCCGACCCTCACGGCCGTCGAGCCAGGCGGCGTCGCCTAGTCTCCGACCGCTGTCCGATGCACCCCGCGGGCCGGAGGGACCTGAGTGGATCGCGGGCACCAGTGAGAGCCCGGCACGACGGAGCAGCCGCGACGAAGGTGCGTACTACCAGGCCGAAGCCGCAATGCTTGCGAGGGAGAATCAAATTTTGCGACAGCGCATTCGGGATTTAGGTGAGTGGTTTTT